GAGGAACTAAATCTTACTAATAAATTTGCTGCAAATGATATATCAAGTCTTGTACAATTAGCAAGATACATTAGTGCACCAATTGCACCGAGATATGGTATTTCAGGACTAAACATCTCTTCATTTTTCTCTCGTGATCTAAAAGGATTCTTATTAGGATCTAATGATCTGACGACCATTGGAGTACTTAATGTATGTGCCTTATCCATATAAAATCGCTTTAATGCCTTCCGGGTATAAGCAGTTTGGTAGACAAAAATTCCACCTTTCAAATGCTCAATTTGTAAATTAAGGTAGAATTTGTCTTTCTAAAATCTTTGATCTCAAATTCTTTCTTTATATATTCAACACTATTTTGAATCTTTTCAGGAGTTTCAATCAAATTTAGATCATCAACATATACAGCAATTATCACAAAATTTGATCTATTTTTCTTGACAAAAACACATGGACATATTGAATCATTGGTATAACCTTCTTTAGTTAGATATTCATTGAGACGGTTATACCATATACGTTCAGATTGTTTGAACCCATACAAAAACCTTTGTAATTTAATAGAATAAATATTTTTAAGATTTGATTTGCATGCTTCAGGCATGTTGAATCCTTCGGAGATTCTCATATAAATATCATTTTCAAGATTTTCATATAAATATGCAGTAACGACGTTCATTAGACGCATATCTAGTTTTTCATGTACTGCAAAACTCACAAGATATCTAAATGTGATAGTATCCACTACAGGTGAATACGTTTCATCGTAATCAAATCCAGACCTTTGTGAAAATTCTTGGGCTACAAGTCTTGCTTTATATTTTACAATTTTATTTTTCTCATTTTTTTCTCACAAATACTCATTTATATCCTTCTGATTTTATACCTTTAGGTATTTGGACTACAGGTCCAAAAACTTTTCTTTTATCCAGTGAGTCCAATTCAGATTGGATCACATCTTTCCATTTTGGCCAATCATTTCTCCGTCAACATTCATCAACCGATCTAGGCTCATGATCCTCGTCCTCTGCCATAATATCAAATGCTACATTATATGCAAAAATACTATCAATAATTATTTCTTTTCGTTTCCAATTTTTCCTTGAAGTGACAAAATTTATTGAATTTTCTATAATTTCATTTTTTTCAAGAATTGGCTCTTTAGGAGCAACCTCTTTAGGAGGTTGAATTTTGTCACTAATTGTTGATTCATCTACTTCTCTTTTCTTTCGAGAATTTTTATCTTTGGAACTAAGAGATCTCCCACGTTTCAGGCATGGTTTACACTCATTAGCACTTGTAATTTGTCCTTCAAGGACATTGATTTTAATCGGAGCATTTTCAGCAGTTATATGTGAATTAGTAACTCTTCTGGAGTCATTAAATGCATTCGGTAATTGATTTATAATTTTTTGCAAATGTATAATCTTTTGAATTTCTAATTCACATTCTTTAGTAAGAGAATCAAGGAAATTCAATGATATTTTTCAAGTAATTTCCTTTTTCGGTTGATTTTTATCTTCCCCTAATGTCAAAAAATGTGATTCATCAAAATGACAATCTACAAATCTCGCAGTAAATAAATCACCTGTTAATGGTTCCATATACTTAATGATTGAAGGTGATTCATAGCTGACATATATCTCTAATCTTCTTTGGGGGCCCAATTTACGACGTTGGGGCGGTGCAATTGGAACATAAACCGCACAATCAAATATCTGTAAATGAGAAATATTGAGCTCATAACCAAAAGTTAATTGTAGGGGAGAATAAGTAATAACTTGTCGGTTTAATTCTCACAAGTGTTGCTGCATGTAATATAGCATGTTCCCAAGCAGATGAAGGAAGTTTAGATTTCATCAACAATGGTCTAGCAATTAATTGTAATCATTTAATGAATGATTTGGCTAGACCATTTTGTGTGTGAATATAAATTACAGGATGTTCAACAGTTATTCTAATGGACATACAATAATTGTCAAAAGCATGTGACGAATATTCACCAGCATTATCTAGACGAATTTTCTTTATTGGATAATCTGAAAATTGTGTTCGTAATTTAATTATTTGAGCAAGCAATCTCGCAAACGCCAGATTGCGAGTAGATAATAAATATACATGTGACCATCTAGTTAATGCATCAATTAGTACCATAAAATATCGAAATGGTTCACATGGTGGATCTGCAGGCCCACATATATCACCATGAATCCGTTCTAGAAATGTAGGGGATTCAGTCTCAACTTTAACTTGTGATGGTCTAATAACTAATTTCCCTTGAGAACAAGCAACACAAGAGAATTCATTGATTTTTAACACTTTTTGATTTTTCAATGAGTCGCCATGTGAATTCTCAATTATTCGTTTCATCATTATAGATCCAGGATGTCCGAAATGATCATGTCAAACCATAAAATCATTGGGATGAGTAGACTTCTAGTCTATTAGGTGATGAATTTCAATTGCACTAATTTGTGCATAATATAAGCCAGAAGAAAAAGAAGATAATTTTTCTACTACGCACTTTTGCCCAGAAATGATACTCGTGATGAATAAAAATTTATTATTTGTCTCAGTCATTGTTTCGATATGATATCCATTTTCGCGGATATCTTTAAAACTCAATAAGTTTCTTCGAGATTTGGAAGAGAGTAGTGCAGTATTTACGACAATTTTATTCCCTTAAAAGAGAAATAGAGTGGTTCACATGATGGATCTACAGACCCACATATATCACCATGAATCCGTTCTAGAAATGTAGGGGATTCATTCCCAACTTTAACTTGTGATGGTCTAATAACTAATTTCCCTTGAGAACAAGCAACACAAGAGAATTCATTGGTTTTTAATACTTTTTGATTTTTCAATGAGTGGCCATATGAATTATCAATTATTCGTCTCATCATTATAGATCCAGGATGTCCGCGATGATCATGTCAAACCATAAAATCATTGGGATGAGTAGACTTCTGGTCTATTAGGTGATGAATTTCAATTGCACTAATTTGTGCATAATATAAGCCAGAAGAAAAAGAAAATAATTTTTCTACTACGCATTTTTGTCCAGAAATGATACTCGTGATTAATAAAAATTCACTATTTGTTTCAGTCATTATCTCGATATGATATCCATTTTTACGGATATCTTTAAAACTCAATAAGTTTTTTCGAGACTTGGGAGAAAGTAGTGCATTATTTACGATAATTTTAGTCCCTTCAGGGAGAAATAGAGTGGCTTTTCCGGAGCCTTCAATCAATTTTGTACTACCACTGATGGTATTAACATTTGTTTCTCCCATTTTTAAATAAAAAAAATATTTTTTATTTTTCAATATAGTGTGTGTAGTAGCATTATCAGTGAGACAAATGTCATCATCACCATTATTTAATCCCAAATATTTGACATCCATTTTTTCTCTCTTTTTTTTTTTTTTTGGCTAACCCAGTCCACGGGGACATCTATTTCTTCTCAGCAGTCACTTGAAGAATTACAGGTAGAATTTCGGCAAAATCTTGTGTTTCACTTTTGTTCAAGGTAGAGTCTCCGTTTTCACCTTTTGCTCAAAAGTAGAGACTCGTACTAATAACGTGTTGTAAAACTAATAAACTACTATAGTATGAATAGAGATATTAGAGAAAGAAGTAGAGAAATAGAGAATGATATCCTGATATTCCAACAAAATATAAAAGTACTCACAAAGGGTGTCAGTGTACCTCCATATATAGGTACTACAAGATTAAAGGTACATCAATTCTATTAAACACCCACTACTACAAGAATATAAGGAAACCCATGAAACAGTTTCTCCACTACATAAATAGATTTATGGATTGTAACTTCTATACATAATGTAGCCATAAATCATGAATTAATTCTTTTGAGAATACAAAGGGACATCCACACTTTTAGTTGTTTCGTAACAAAATTTTTTTTTTAAAACTGAAACTAGGCCAAAGGGCCTCTTTGCTTCAGGCTTTTTGCTTGGGTTTGTTCTTAGGCTTTTGGAGAATTTTTGTTTGGATTTTGGGAAATTTTTGGTTGGATTTTGGATGAAATTTTGGATTGGGTTTTTTCTTTTGGATTGGGCTAAAAATATGAATAATATTTTAAAATCCCATTACTTCTTCTTTTTCCTACAAAAATAACACAAAAAATAAAAAATATTACTTAACCAATAATATAAAGATACAATAAAAATCTACAAAAAAAATTTTTAGAAAAATTTGGTGTCTACATCTAAGGTTTTAAAAATGTCACTTACCTCCCTTACTTTTGTTATTTGTACAACAAAATTTTTAAAAATCCTAAAATTCCCTTTTATTTGCTAAATAAAAATATTTCTGAACCACTTTGTTTACTTCAAAAAAACCATCACCTCAAAAACAATATCTAGTAGTATTACTACATCATAATGCTAGAGCTCATAAAAATATAAATTTAAAAAACAAAAAAGATATTTGTAAAATAATACATTTGCACCAATTTAACTCTATATGCTCAAAATCGATTTCTTATGAACTTTATATTTTTTTCCCAATTTCTTCTCAACTTGTGTCTAAACCTTTAAATTGTATTGATCATTATAAAAATCAACTCAAATAAGCAAATAAATCATAAAAAATAAAAGATAAATAAAATCTAATTTGTTATAATTTACAAATGAAATATTGCATAGTCACCCAAAAAATGAATAAGAGAGAATGTTGAAGAAAAAGAAAAGATAAGAAAGTGACTTTCATTTCTTTTATTTTTTATTTTTGAACTCTATTTATTTGATATGTGAATTATGTATCAAATGATGGTTAATATAGTCTTTTTACAATCAATACAGGAGGTAAGTGATATTTTTAAAACTTTAAGGGTATCAAGTGATATTAGAAAAATCTCAAGGGAGGATTCTGATATTATCCCAATAAACTTTGGTAATCATAAACAGCTGCTTCTTACAGGTAGAAGAAAGGGTTATCGCTTATCATCCAGCCAAAAGAAAATGCAACTCCTCGGACCAATAAAAACTAGCACATTCTATAGAAATCCAACAGTTTAGCTATAAAAGGCAGTTTGGTAAAAATACAACTTTCACACGTTACCAACATAATATATACAACTCCAGTTGGTCTGCAATTAACAAAGTAATTTTATATCCCAAATGCTGGTAGAGACCTAAATCTTTCATTTGAGTTGTCTTCCAGCTGCATTATTACCCCTGGATTAAGTTTCTTGTACAGCTCCCTCTCGCGAAGCCTCTCAAAGTATGAAATCATCAGTCCATTCTGTCTCGCAATTTTTGAGCGAACCCAACCAGAACGGTTTCTTGGTGCACCAGTCACCACAACAATGGTTTTATCATTAGCAAAGTTAGCTATAGGGATCATTGTCTCTGGTTCAGTGGCAGATGAGGCATCAACCAGGAAAATGTGACTGAAGTGTCCCGCCTTTACTCCTTCACTATGCAGCCGAAAACTGCTCATGAAAGTGGATAAAATTATCTTGAATTTTCGAAGCTCTTCAAGCGGTGGACAAGAAAAGCACTCTGTTTGTCTCTCGTAAAGACAAGAGGGTAATATATCCACAGGAATCCCGTCCACCTCCCTGAATGCAGCATTGGCCCTAAATATATCAGAGTCCGACATCTCTTTCTTGAGTCCTCTCAGGAGCAGATCACATGTTTTGTTTACAGGTGCACACAGAAGAATCTTTTTCGATGGATCACTGCGAAGAATCTGACGTGCTGCTTCTACAATTACCACTCCAGTTCTTGATAAATGACCACCTTCAGAAATACACATTGGTCCCTCCACGAGATAGGGAGGTGCACCCTGAAGCCTCAATATTTGATGAACAGCGAAGTTAGCTTTCTGATATCTGTTGTCCACACGCTGTGTAGAAAGAACTTCATGTTCTGGTGGTAAATCAGGAAAGAGAAAGTTCCTGAATGAAGCAGATGACACATCTGCAATTGCTTGGTGAGCCCTTTTCAAACAAACTCTATTAAATGAAAATTTTACATCATATTTGCACTCTGGGCGATGCTGAGAGTAAAAACTTTTTCCAAATTCAGCTAACACAAGGTTGCTCTTTACCACACGATAAATGACACCCTATAACAGAGTAAACATGATTACAGCAAGAAATATGACCAGATGACAAGAAGCAATTTGATAAGACAAGTAAACAGGCGTTCAATCCAAGTAGTACTTCAGAGCATGTCTTCTTTGATATAAAGGTCAAACTAACCAATTCAAGTAGCTTTGTAGGTTATTTCCATAACACCACCTGGTTGAAGAAAAACCAGTCAGACGTGTACTCATATATGTCTCGGAACCGGGGTGGATACAATACCTTGCACTGCACTAAGATTCATTTGAATTGGAGTCTCTTTTCTTTATGATTTCCTTCCCTCAACTAATAAAAGATCCGCTAATGCTCTCTCCTTCAATATCTAAACAATGTTTTGAAAGATGTAATGCAAGTTCTTATCCATTTTGTAGTAGCCAAAAAGGACCCGTCATTTTTCCACAAAATTTTACTTTGTTTCTCTTCAACCTAAGTAGGATCATATGGTGATGGCAGATAGAGAGAACAGAATGGCCTAATGCATGCTAGAATAGAGTTGATACAACCAAAATACAAATCTCAATTATGCAGAATCAAGAGTCAAATTCATATTATTATGGTATCACCACTTAGAATGGTATATAAAAAATGGCTTATCTACGAGCAGCACTATTTCTCATGGAGAATTAGATACTACAGATATTACTGAATTCACTTGAGGTTCTTGTGAAAATTGTCAAGGAGTTGCCTTAAAAACATGACAAATTATTTAGCGTTCTGAAATGGTCAAGTAGGCATTGAATGATCATACTTTTGTCTAAACAAGGGTGGTTGCATATATAATCGACTCACTCTGCAGATAAACATAATTGTATACGTAAATATGTGTGTTTTAATTTTAATATAACTCCAACTAGAAAGAAGCTACTTACTCAAAGCTTCCATTAAGAAAATTTCAGAAACTACTTGCCCTATGCAGTCAGAATTTTCACCACAATATAATAGCAGTTTTAAAAGTTAACCTGAAATGGCTCGATTTTCCTGCTACAAGGCTGTACGGAAACAAAATCTCTTGATAGCAAAAATGGCCTCCTTTCAGGTATCTCGTCAATTTCAAATGCAACAAAGGTCTTTTCATCTTTCAGGTCAGATTCCTCCAAGGTTTTATGTTTTCTTTTTCTCATGTATATTGACGCTTCATGCAACTCCAGATTGACATTCTTCACCTCAAATCCATCCCATTTCTGTGAGATGATGCAAAAGTATACTGTATCAGCAAAATTGAATTCTTACAACACACAATATAATTGGCAAGCCTAAATTATAAAGTAATGATGAATAATGTAACAAATACTTGATCAATAGAAAACAAATGATTCAGCTTAATGAGGTCCAAAAAGAAAATACAAGATACGAATGGGAGTTTTCTTCCATTGTAGCTGTAAAGTAGAAAGTTTACTGATATTTGAGGAGAATGTTTCTTATAGTTTTCCATCAGATCATTGTTTACTGATATTTGAGAATAAGCTTTCATAGATTATTACTGAGTAGAAAGAATCAAATTCCGCTACAAATGGCAAAGCCACATTTTTAGTAGACACTTGATGTGTCAGAAATGAAGTAAATCCTCATAAATAGGCTTTCGTCAGTGTCTATAGCTTGCAGTAAACTTGGTGAAACTGTTTCAATGACAATACTTGCGAAAAGTGTTATACATATACTTCCCAATCACCTGAGTGATTTCAGAAAGAACTAATAATAAAACATGCAAAAGAGTAATGGATGGCATACTGAAACCTGAAGTATAAATTGACATAAAACTTTTGAAAGAGGAATTCCAGGTCGAGAGTAAAGCCACAAAGAATGGTGAAACATCCACTACACGTAAATAGCATTTTGAAAGATCTGAAAAAAATTATTGTGGATACTTGTGCATGTCAGAGGACAAATTGTAGTGCTACAGCAACATATTTCTCTAGGAACTTGGAAGTTGTTAAAGCATGAAAAGAATAGACTTGCAGATAGGATATTCATTGATTCTCAAGAATCCATCTTTCTGTCAGTATCAGGGCACTTTGAAGTTTGCCCTGGTCCATTGCAGTACATTTTCAGAATCCTGCTTTGTACTTGTCTAAGCATGGATTTTGTAACAAAGATAAGTTTGAGCAAGGTTGATTAAGAAGGTTTCATGTCCATTACATGTGTGAAATTAATCTCTACAACCAGAGAAAATTGAAATTGCAAAAGCCACATTCTCCCAAGTTTAGAAGGTGAATCAACCTAAGGTTCAAAAGCCAAGTATAATATCTTGGTGTGTATCCGAGAGGGATGGTCCCTGGAACTGTAAAAAGCACCTTCAGCATATATATCACTAACCTATGCTACAAGCAGATCAAATAAGTTGGACAGATTGGTCAAATTAATATTTAAAGTGCCTCTTTGAAGTTAGGTTTAAAACTCAAAATTCTTAGGATATCCACTTTGTGTACACGCACAGGAAAAATTTCATCAGTTTTTTATGACCTTAGATGTCAGAATCAAGTAAATTTTGTAAGTAAAAAATTTTATTCACCTCAATTCTTTATAAGGCAAGTCAAAAGTGGAAGTCTGAACACAAACATTCCCCATTCACAAAGCAGGCATAAGTTAAAACATTGCTGAAACAGAATTGGTCACTGTGGGCAAGCTTATGCAGAATTATCAAAAATGTCTAATCATAGAGCTAGTTGCCAGCTGCCAACATATGCAATTACAACAACCAGAAACAAAAGTCCAACACAGTACCCCACTTTGAGATCCAAGAAACAAGCATACTATGCTGAAAGGACTAGAGTTCATTTACCATAATAAGTCTATACTTGAGATACAAAAAGGATTACAACTGACAAGGTCTGTTTACAGGGCTTGTAAACTATGATGTCTTCCTCAAATTTTTAAAACTGACAGATCTGGTCTGCAAGGCCTGTAAGCATTTATTCTCTTACTAGTTACTGGAAATTCCAAAAACCTACACAAAGAATGTGAATCTACAGGAGCAGTATAGAACCTTTAGAATCCACGCAAACTATATACTTGAGATGCAACACATTTTCAAAGTCATTCAATTTTTATCCTTTGAGATGCATTTGATTCCTAAGGGAATGTGACAACAGTCAAAATCAGAAAAGTACTAAACAGCCATCTTTTAAGAATATCTACATTCAGCCTCTAAGTTATTGGTATGTAGAAGAAGCAGGATTTAAAACTAGCTCAAAATTTAGTAGGAAAACTGCTGAATTCCATTACCTCCAGGTGACAGTCCTCAGCATACAACAGAGCCTGAAAGTAATCCATGTATGTTGACATAGACAAAGGCTGCTTGAGGACTCCTGGGACAATGTCTTTCTCAATCAAATCTCTAATACCCTTTGGAAACACGTATGTGGATGACACACCCTTTTCTACCCAAACATACTTAGTCTTTGTCTGCAGACTGATAGAGCTTGTAGACACCAGAGACAGGACCGGCTTAGTTGACAAGGGAGGGGGTTTTTGAGAGCAAGAGTCAGCAAGCTTAGTATAAGATGATGGTGAATCTGTTTCAAGGAATGAGTGGAGCTTCTTGGTCCCAGATTCACATGGTGACAGCTTGGAGGATTGTAAATGAGGCAATTTTGTGGAAGACGGAAATGATTTATAAGAAGCTGAAGATACACCAGGGGACAATTTCTGTTCAGTTGGCATAGTGGCGTCTCTCTTGCAAATTTGAGGATTGTGGTCCATAGAAGATGATAAATTGTTTCGGTTCTGAGTAATTTCAGCAGGGCTTTTCAGTACTTCACTCGGCCCGGCAGTAATGGAAGGTTGCTTGGCATGGTGTACGGAAGAAGGTGAAGTGGATTCAGATGCAACTATCAGATTCTTGTTACCAATTCCAGTACTTGTAGAGCTAGTCACAGACTTACTAACCTCGTTTCTAGATAGCTTACTAGGAACCAAATATTCATTAAAGGTTGACCTTGATTTGTTGACATTATAGACTTCGTTGCTTCTGGAGGGGGTGGTTGTTTGCACCAAAGAATTGCAAGACCCTGGAAAAGAGTCAATAATTGGAACTCTCCGAAAATCATAGTGGCTCTGCTTCAGATTCTGGTATTGATTGATTTCCCTTTCTTCATCTTCAACACAACAAATTCGTTTCAATATATGAATGAGGAACGCCAGCATTTTCCCAAATCTCACTGCTGTCCTGCTCAGAAATGTTATAAACATTTAGCATGTCAATCAACAAGAGCAGAGTAAATGCCAGGTTGAATTAACTTAATCAGAACAAGCGAAAAGCAAACCAGAAACCATATTTTTGTCACCAAAATGCATCTATGAACAGAAATGATAACGTGTTAAACTCATGTGAGGTTTCATCTCTGATTACATGACAAACTCTATGTGTGAGATTTTAGCATATAAGAACCAGAATGGATTGCAAAATTTAACTCTAAAACCAGAAATTCACTACCATAATATTCATACACTGTACTGAAAGCGGTCCATGTAAATACTAAGAAATATATAAATAGACATGTTACTAAATTAAGGAATTACAGAAGAACAGAGAAAAAGAACAAGCTGCCATCTGAGAGTACTTTCTCTGTCCTTACCTGAAGGTACCACCAGCTAATAGTCTCTAACCAGCAATTACAGCCTTGTATCACGCCATATGCACAAACACAGGAAGAAGGGAACCAATCCCTCAACACATTGCCAAAAACTCCTAATGCAAGACATGTTGGATCACACAAATATGTATACCATAATGTCTACTGAAAAAGCTAAATCTCGACACAAATTTCAAGTTTTGTGTTTGACTATGACTATCAGACAGAGCCTAATGCAAAATACTTAGCTGAACATGGCTGAAGTTTATGTGGTCAAAACTGTGCCAGAATATTTATAACGTGGACAGGAAGGTGGTAAAAAATGGCAGATGGACCTTCATTCACCTAAGAAAAATAAAATTTAAAAGCTATTTTCAAGAATCAAATACCCCAATAAATTACTATATTTTTCTTCTTTTTCTTTTTCTTTAGCAATTTACTACATACTTAGGATAAGTTATACTCAGAAACAATTAAATGAACAACATTTTGCCATTCAGCCATGCAATTTTAGATTGACCACAATTTTCCCAGCTTCTACACATATCCACATGTTACATATTGATTTAACGGTATCCAAATGAGTTGATTTTTTGGTATAATAACCAAGTAAAATAAAACTGATGGTTTTCCCAGATAATTGAGATATAAATAAATCAAAATAAATGGGGGAAAATAAATAGAAAACCAAGGGGGCCAAGTCAAAAGTCTCAATTGTCCCTAAGAATTGTAAAAGTCTTACTTGTATCATGATTTTCAACCCAAGAAAACATTTGGATACTAAATCATTGCCTTCAAAACTTTGAAAACACATTATGCATTAGACATTGCAATCATACATTTTTCTTTTGCCACCAAAAATTTCAATAGTCTTATTTACAAGCACAAATTTTTTAAATTATGTTTCTGCAATCTTCAAAATATGATCTGTCTTGCTAAAGACATCATTGTTATATCTTGAAAGACCACTGCATATTTTGTATAAGAATTAATCTGCACATGCATGCATGTATATACGTAGTATTTAGTCATTTCTCACAGTATATGAGTACCTGAAAATGACTCTACTAAGCTAAGATGAAATCTCCAAGAATTGAGGTCCATTAATCGAAGCTAATAAGCTTTGTACCATAGAAAAATCTGCAAAAGAACTATCTGAACTCTGAAACTCACCTAAAGATTCCTCAGTGAAGATGATCGCATCTGATTACAAATTTATATTAACCATGTCGAACAACATAAAACCCATATCAACATATCTAAAATTCAAACAGGAAATCTTCTCCAAGAAGGGGGGGGGGCGGGGAAGAAACTCCATGTTTTACAGGATTAACCACAAAAACTTACTTGGTTGCTTTAGCTCAAGTGGAGGGATCAAACAGAGAAATAAAGCTTTGTGGCGTGGATTTCCCTGAAACAGCTATGTACCGTGAAGACTGAAGAGTAAGGATAATCTAACGACTGTGTGACAAAAAGCTTGGATTGTAAAGGACATCTTCTGTAGATGTAGGCAGTAGGAGGTGTGGTCGTACGTACATGGGGAAAAAGTACTGTGGCTTCTTGTTTTTCCACAAAGAACTTGATTGGAGCCTTGGAGGTCAAGGGCGACAGGCTTCAATTATTCGGGTATAAAGTAAATGGAGAGTCGCACTCATTCCAGTCGGGATTAATTGGCCTATTACCAATAGTCAATACTCGCTTCACTTATTCGAGAATGGAGTTTTAGGCGCAGTTAGTGTGCTGTATCTATAATATGATGTATATAAATAAAATTTATGAGTGTAATAAAATTATATAAAGTACAGCATATATCATATAGCATAAAAAGTACATTAACTGAACAACCGTATAAAATTGCCAACCGTATCTGTCCATAATCCCGCTTATTCGACCCTGCTGTGGTAATATCAGGGTCTCTATGACAATTATACGTGTAGGGTGGAATGTGAATATTAGCAAAATATATGTATATATTAAAACAATAAATGTAGATATTAACATAATAATATGTAAAAGGATTAAAAGAATTAAACCTTCCTGTACTTTATTTTCAGTTGCACTTTGCCCCCCTTCAACTCGGCAAATAAGTTTTTTACCCCTATTGTATGTTTTAGAACAAAAGTATTGCTTCCATATTAATTATTATTTTATTTCTTTTTTTCTCATTTCTTGCTCTTTTTCTACTTATCCTTTTTCTTTATATTTTTAATTTCCCCCATGTGATCAACTACTTTGTTCTTTTTACTATTATTATCTATATATTAATTTTAATCTTCTTAAAGTTATTATTCATTTATTTCTATATTTTTTACTTTTTGTTAGTGGAAGTAGTACGTGTAATTATCATAAAATCTATGCTATAACAAAGTATATTATCTATGTGCATAGACTACTTTATATATTATTTAAATCAATATGTATAGAATTTAGAATAAATTAATTTTTAAGAGCAATAGTAACAAATTAAAATTATGACAACATAGTGGTTAATAAACTATATATAAAAAAGTAAATAAATATATTAGTAACCTTAATTTTTTTGGATATACATTTAAATATTAAGTAATTTAAAGTTCTAGTTTGCTAATATCTTTTTAAATAGTCTAATTGTTAATTGTAATGGGCATATATTAGTTTTCCATGCTATACAATTTATCTTGAATTTTCTAATAGTGTAAATAAATAAAATTATAAGTAAAGACAATTACAATAGTAAAATTAGCATACAAATTAGTAATACTAATACGAAAGTGAAACAAATAGTGACATAGGAGAAGTGAAAAAAAAAAAAGTAAAATAACAAAAAAAATTTAAAAAAAAAGAACATAGTGAAAAAGGAAAAATAAGGGAATGAATAAACCAAAAAGAAACAAATTACAATAGTAAGGGCACTTTTGTCTTGAAATATCAAATAGAGGGGTTAAGTGCTCATTTAATGAGTTCAAGGGGGCAGAGCGCAACTAAGGGTAGAGTTTAAGGGCGGTTTAGTACATTTAACCCATTGTAAAAATACAATAAGTTTTTTCATTTCTTGAATTTCGTGCCTCAAAAATTTTGTCATGTTCTTACATGTTATTATGTTAATATTTACATTTATTGTTTTCGAGTCTACATTTATATGCTACTTCCTACAACTATATGGTGCAATTGCCATTAGCGATGGTAGAGGTCCCTAACCTTACTAGGGATTTTAAGGAGCAGATTAGCCAAATATAATCTTTTTCTTCTCTTTCTTAAATGTGCAGATTTGATTCACTAAGGTGCACGCTTTCGCAAACAATATGCAGTATCCATGAAATAGCGTCTAATTTTGTGAATTTGGTGTGAAGTTTTAATACTCCTATTGCTTGGGCGTGGGTCTACTACAGGTACAGAGTTGATTTGATTGTCCATCTCACAAGAAAGAAAAGTTTATAATTAATTTAACCAATTTTAACGACCCCTTTATTATATAATACTATGGTTTGCTTCTCCACTAAGCACTTGCCTGATTAAGTAATGGCCTAACAATTTAATATACTTGATACCCACTTCTACCAACACACCCACCATAATTACAGCAACTTTAAAAACAACTTTTGTGATATAAATCTTACTATAGAATCATTAGGTTTTATAAAAGAGCAAATTATTCAGATGATCACTGAACTTTTGGAATCATTGAGATTTTATCACTGAACTATTAAAAGTTTGATTTTAACCACTGAACTATCCAAAGTTTAAATTTCAAGTCATTCCATTAAATTTAATCCTTAACTATGCCTCTTTCTTTTGTCTCGTGAATCGTGCGAACACTCAAATATGTTATATTTAACGATTAAATTTAAGGGAATGGCTCAATATCTAAATTTTAGATAGTTCAGTGATTAAAACCAGATTTTTAGTTGTTCAATGGTCAAAACTCAACGATTCTAAAAATTTGGCGGTCATCCAGATAATTTGCTCTTTATAAAATTACAAGCTTTTTACTATGTGAGTCTATAACCATGGATGAGCGCTCTTACATACTAATATTAAACTTCTATTTACGCTACATCATTCAATGCCTCATATAATTACAATTAATTTAATTGCAATTACACAGTACAATGAAAAATACTAGACAACTTGCAAAGAGTATATATATTCATTGAGACCGAATTCATTTCATCCGACAAGGCAAAGTGATTCCATCTTAGTTTAGGAATGAAACTTAGTAATTGATAATGTGAATGGAAGACAATAACAAGCTCTCAATTCATCGATCCTTTTGTTTTCTTCTGAACGAGCTTCTTTCATTTTCTTTTCCCCTTTACAACATGCATCGATTTCTTTTGACATTTTCCAAAATCTTTCTTTGGCAATTTTATAAGCTTTCTCATTTTTAAAGGCTTTTGTCTTCAATTGCATGCATAGATAGGATAAACTTTTGGAACGGAAATTGATTCTTGCCTTTGACACTACTTTCACTAGAAATTCTTACATCTTTTATTTTAGCTGTCTTCATCCACCTCTTCAATATATATTCATTAGATATAATTAGAATATTCCGAGTCACCGATATCTTTAATGCATAAAACAAAAAAATTCGGCAATTTGAAATTTCTTACAACTACATGAAATGAAATTTCTAGATAAATTATAAGTTACAAGATGATAGGAAATCTTGACATATAATATAACTCTGTAAATTACTAGATTTCCTAATTCACCATCAATTTGCCATATACGTTCCATCCCTATGCATAATTCGTCCTTCTATTTCTCATAAACCTATGTGTATGCATACTTGTTGCATGCCATAAGATCTTCCAAGGAATGGTCTTCCCCCGTGCACTTTGACTTCCTATGAAATCTAATACAAATTCATCATAAAGACAATCATCTACTAGTCTCTAAAAGTGTTCAAAAAAATTCAAGTAAACCATGTTTTTAACTTATATAATTCTTTACAACATACTTCACGGTCTCACTTTGTTTTGTTGTAAATCAACACAGAAAGTCTCTCTTTCATGAGCAAACTTTTGAAAGCTTGCAAAAATATCAATTAGATGAATTACTGCATTTTAATAGATGTGCCAGATGTATAATTGGTGATATCTCGTCAGCCACTGAGAAGCTAATATTGTTGCCGTTCTTCAGTCTTGATCTACAAAAATAGTGCTCAATATTTTTGGAGAAATATTACTTGGGGAAATATTTCTATATTTTTCATTCGTTCACAATGATTCAATGCCTATCTATACAATATATAATGGGCAAGCAGTGGCAGTTGGTGTAATCATCATCTATTATTTATTGAACTTACAATTTTACATTTTGAAGAACTAATTTTTTACCTTAATCACCTAATCACATTTGCCAACCTAACCCCTCATAACTACCCTAAGTATCACAACTATCAAATTATGAAGAAAAAATTACTCATAAACTGAAGTTTGTTAAT